GGGGTGTGTGTATGTGCCGGGGTGGGGGGGCGGCGGGGGGGTTGGGAATGGGAATGTCCCTGTCGGAGCTCCGCTCCCCGCGCGGGGTGTGCGGGCGGTGCGGGGCGCGCAGCACCGCGGCCGAGCCCGGCGGAGCGCGGGGAGGGCAGGGAAGGAGTTATAGCAGCAGCCTCTTCCTTGTTGGTTGGGTTTTTTTTAGCCTTTTCATTTTTTCCCCTTTCCTTTTTTTTTTTTCTTTTTTTTTTTTCCCCTTTCTTTCCTTTTTTTTTTTTTTTTTTCCCACTCTCCGCCTTCACAAGCTCCTCGAAATAAACATCCCCGGAGCCCGCGGGAAAAAGAGAGGGGAAAAAAAAGAAAACAACCAACCAACCAACCAAAAAAACCCCCCAACAACATCAAATCCGCACTGTATAAAAACGTAACTAAATTATTTAAAATTAATTTGCACTTTAACTTCCGAAACAATTTTTCAAATCCCATCGCCCGTGAAAATAGATGTTCAGATCCGTCGTTTAATTAAGGCAGAGTCTCTAGCAGGGAAATAAAACCCCGAACGTCCCATTTTAATCTTTGCTGCAAATGTAGCTAAGGCAGAGCCCGGCTCCGCTCCTGCCGAGGCGGCTCTCACCTCGCCTAGAGCAGAGTATGGTGGATTTTATAGTGTTTTTATCTGCATATAGTTAAATCTTCTTGCTGTTCTAACTAATCTGCTGGAGAGGGTTTCTTTAGCTCTTTCCTGTCAGTCTAACTTCCCAAGTGTAACAGATGCCGCTCTCAAGCGGTCCTTTCTGCTGCTTTTCTTTATTCAGCCTCGCATATTTCTCCCCATGATCTGGGTTTCCATAGAGAGAGGAATAAAAGGGGGACCATGGCCACAAATCCCCTGCCCCATGCAGAATAAAAGAGCCTTATTCAATAGCCGACCCCGTCTGGACATGGGAGAAAAATAAGTACATGCAAAGCTACTGTTGCAAGAATTTGTAACTTATTTTTCATAGACCGAAACCCATTAAAGTTTTTTTTTATTAAAAAAAAAAAAAATTAAAAAAAAACTTTCTGGGTTCGGACCGTGCGCTCCAGCCCTTTGGCTCCAGGTGCCCCCGCCCCGGAGAGACCCGCGTTTGCCCAACAAATAACTCGCTTTAATATCTATTTTTTCTGCTAAATCTTTGGCGTGAAAAAGCTCGCACAATAGCGGGAGGCAGCACCGTCCTGGGGCAGCGAGAAGTCGCTGGAGAGAACCCCCCGCTTTGAAGTGCAGGGATTGTGTGGAGTCCTCCTGGCACAGGCGGGACCGGGACTTTCTGGGGTCACCCGGGTGCGTGGCGTCCCCTCGGTGTCCCCCACGCGTGGGGCAGGGCGGGCTGTCCCCGCACCAACCCCGCACGTTCCCCTTTAAGAGCTCCAACCCGAGGCGGGGTGCGGTGTGTTTGTGTTCCATAGGAAGGGACCTGGCGCAGAGCGAGCCCAGGAGCGCGTTTATTATCGTGACAGAGCTGATTTTATTATATTTAAGAGATTTTTTTTTTTCCTCATTGTTCATCCGCGGGAGGGGAAGGAGGAAAAAAAAACAAAAAAAAGGAAAAAAGGAAAAAAAAAGGTCTAAAAGGGGTTCGTTTTGATTGTGTTTAATACAGCATGAAGCTCGGAGCGGTAAGCTGTGCCTCGGTGTCGTGACCTCTATATTGAAAACTTCACCTTCAACACAAGTTCACTTTAGAGACAGGACGAGTTAGATTGCGCTTGGTGGGAACAAGTGCAAATTTAAAAACAGAGTCAATCATAACGGGGGTGGGGGCTGGGAAAGGGCAATTTAACCGTTTCTGGAGCCAGGAGTTAAGGTTTGCATTGTGTACATCCAGGCGCTGAAGCCCAGCCACCCATCAGGGCTGAGAAAGCGGCTCCTGGAGCTCCGGAGAGGCTTTGGGAACACCTAACCTGCGTGGGGGAAGCTTAAGAAGTGAAAAAGAATTTACAGAGTATTAGCAGAAATTAGCCAATACCGACACAAGCTCAATTAGTTCTTTTTTTTTTTTTTTTTTTTTTTTTTTTTTTTTTTTTTTTTTTTTTTTTTTTTTTTTTTTTTTTTTTTTGGTCTCTGTTGGCTGCTCTTGAACGTGAGTAAATGCTGTGCAGGGAGAGAGGAGGGAGAGAGCCACACACTGCCATCTCAGAGCCCCAGCCAGGAGATGGACTGACAGATTGCAAATTAAACTAGTCCTAATGTAAGAATGAAAGCAGCCCCCCCCAAATCTCTCCCAGCACCAGCCCGGCAGCAAAGAGCCCGGCACGGAGGGAGCGTGGCTGCGGCTGGGCTGGTCCAGGGAGGGACAATAAAGCCAGTCCCCGGGCAGGAAAAAATCTCAAGGTAAATAGTATTTGTGTTCTAACTGCTGCGGTTTCCGAAGCGTTTTGGGCGACTCCTCGCTCCTCTGCTCGAATCGCCTGTTATTGTTATTATTATTATTAATAATATTTTTTTCGGCGTTGTTGATGTTTGGAAAAAATGTACTTGCTGCGGGGGAAAAAAACAAATGTGGTTCATTTGTGCACTACCCCGTCATGTTCAGGTCACTGTTATTTCGGAGCCGGGTCGGTTTTAGCAGATCTCGTCTCGAACAATTGGTTGATGGAGCAAAAAACCATCAATATTCCGGGAAGTCTCTCCAAAGCTCAGAGTTTTGCTGCGGGACCGGTCTGGCCGTTTATTAAATCCACGAACTGAAACGTCGGTTTTTGTTGTGTTTACGGAGAAAACAGGGATGGGGAGAGAGGGGGCTGCGGCCGCGGACCCTCCTCGGGCGGTGCGTGGCAGCTCCTGAGGTCACGGCAGGAGTTAATAGACCCGCACAACAATGCGGGTCCCTTCCCTTTTACGTAGGCACTTTCCTCACCGTGCCATTCACACGGGCGTGATGACAAGAATGCGTTTGTTTCATTCCGGACCGAAATCCCGTGGTTTTTTAGTGTGGGGTGGGTTTTTTTTGTTTGTTTTGTTTTGTTTTGTTTTTTTGCTGTGAAGCTTCTCGCAGCAAACGGGGAGATGCGGTTAAGGATGGGCACCCCCAGCCCTTGAGCAGCTCCTGCCACGCCAGAGGCCATCCTGCCCCAGCTTTAGAAATAATCCACACACAATTCCCGAACGGACAGATTCCTGCTCAGACATATTTAAAGGAAAATGGGCTGGATTTGAACACGCGCTAACTGGCTCGCTAGTTAACCTCTGTTGACTAATGAGACACTGAAGACGAATCGCTCTATTCCTTGGATGACAAATACCTGCATTGCTGTTTGGTAGCTTAGCGAGCAGTTTCCATGAGGGGTTTGGGGTTTATGTATTGTGGTTTTCCCCTTTATTTATTTATTTATTAACTATACGTTTTCCCAGCTGTAGCACTCCTCGTGCAAAGCATCCAGCGATGCTCCTGATCCCGCAGAGGGATTGAAACGCCTCCTGCATTTTGAAGCGCCTCGTCATTCCTAGATTTACGTTTAGAAATAAGTAGATGCTACTGCTAATTCTTGTTTTGTCACAGACTTTTCGCGTGTTCACGGCTTGGTGGAAAGTTTCCTCCCCTCTTCATTCAGGTCGCGCCAACCAAAGCTGTTATAAAAATGAACTTTCAGGCCAGGCTGCCTTGCTGAAAGATGTTTCCTTCGTGAATCTCTCTTGGGCAATGCAGGGATGGGGACGGGGGTCGTGAGGCAGGTGGGGCGTGTGCGGTTCCCTGGCACTTCCTGGCACCTTTTCTCTCCCCTCTCGCCCAGGAGAATCCCGGTGAAAGCCTCTGGAGGCTGGAGCATCCCTTCCCCTCTGTGCCCTCCCCGGGCGGGGGGTCCCGGGCACGGCGGGGGCTGCGGGGGAGAAGTTCATGGGGAGGCGGGCGGACAATAAATCACCGCGGGCCCCAGGGCAGCGCACACGGGAGAGTCTCCATCAAAGCGGGGGAGACAGCCCTCGGCTGCGAGAAATAAATGGGAATAAATCAAAGCAGGGGGTGCCCGGGGCAGGGAGGGGGGCGAGCCGGTCCCGCTCCGCCCGGGAGCGCCGGAGCAGAGCTGGGGAAAGGCACTCTGCAAACTTTTAATGAAATCACCGGTGCTATCGATTTTTGTGGGTTTTCTCGCCGTGCTTCAGACATTGGAAAGTGTCCCTCTGGGAATGGGGGAGGGGGCCGAAGGCAGCGGTGCAACGCGAGCTGTATTGGACACGCAGTTATTTCATATTTTCGAAAATAAACGGCGTCTTTGAGGGTCCACCAGAGAGCAAAGGGACTCCGGGGGCGCTTGAGCCGACCCATAGAGCTCGGGGTTTAGGCGTGCAGGTATC